TGTAGTTCTTTGAGGAAGCTATTGTGCAAATGACACCCTCACTTTGGGTTGCCAGTTAGGCCTATTTTGCACTGTTGTGAGTTGAAACTATGAATAATTATTGGACTTGGTGACAAAATACGATTTTTCCAGGCTTGTGTGTGTGTATATGTGTGCGTATTTGCGTGTGTTTGTGCGTGCATGTGTGTGTGTGTTTGAGCGTATGTGTGTGTGTGTGTGTCTATGTGCGTGCGTGTGTGTGTGGATCTCCCTTCCTGATCAATATATATGCATACTATAACGTCGTTTCTCTCTCCCTTTCTCTATCATTTATTTATTATTATCTTCCTTTCTTATTCAACTTTGTAATTTACTTTTCTTTTCCAATTCCTCTTCTTTAATTCCACTCCGTTTTACGTTTTTTTACTTTTATTTTTGTATTCCTTTCTGTGTTTTATATTATTCATTTATGTGTCCTTTCTTACTTTTTATTTCTCTCTAACACACACAACAATATATTTATTTATTTATTTATATACATATATATTCATTCTTTCTTCCTTATTTACCTTTTCTTCTTTATAACATTTCTTTCATTTCTATTAATTTTCATTTTATTTTTAGGTGTGTCTTTTCACGTGTGCCTTTAGTTTTTTTATTCATTATTATTTTTTTCAATGAAACAAGAGAGTGGACTTTCAACATATGTTTACTATGCATTGTCCTGTTTATATACGTAAAATATTGTATACCTATATCTTTATTCAGATATGTGTAATGTGCATGTTGTGTGTGTGTGTGTGTGTGTGTGTGTGTGTGTGTGTGTGTGTGCGGTGTGCTGTGTGTGCGTGTGTGTGTGTGTGTGTGGTGTGTGTGTGCGTGTGTTGTGTGTGTGTGTGTGTGTGTGTGTGTGTGTGTGTGTGTATGTGTGTGGTGTGTGTGTGTGGTGTTGTTGTATGCGTGTGTGTTGTGTGCGTGTGTGTGTGTGTGCGTGCGTGTGCGTGTGTTGTATATGTGTGTATGTGTGTGTGTGTACGTATGTGTTTTGATAAGTGTGTATATTTATATGTGTGTGTTTAGTGTGTTTTAGTATATGTGTGCGTGCTTCAGTGTATGTGTTGTTTTAATATGAGTATCTACACGTGTGTTTTAGAATATGTGTTAATGTTTTAATACGTGTGTGTG